GACGGTGTTCTCCATCCCCTCACTTCAAATCAGCGCAACTTCACTGTCAGCTCCACGTCATGGAAGGTGCCCGTCGATCGGAACTGCCTTTGGTGCCGTGGAAAGCTCTTATGTTGGATACATATCAACTATTCATGGCACTTTTGTAGCATCACTGTAAACCTTTTGCCATTGTAGGTGATCATAAAGAAATTAATCCTTTTTGCTAGGAAACCACTCAGTTAAGAACAAAAAATGCATTTTGTTGTTATCTCTTTCTTATATGCTAAAATGGACAAGAGTAGTGAACAATAGTACATCAATCATTTCGTTATATGGTTTGCATCTAGTTTGTTTCCAAATGCATGCACAAAAGTTTTGTTCCATCCGGTCATAAATTTTGATCGAATTTTATCCAGGTATTAAAATGTGAAACAGGCCACAAATGGTTTGTTGTAACTAAGAATACAAAATTCAAATGGAAAATGAGCACTTCAAATACCAATTTGATATACCATGCAAATAGTCATACAACGTTCGACTAATGATTAGTACTCCAGAACACCACCACCAATAACCTCGTGACAAATCCATATACATTCAGTAGGGCTTTGTCTATCTCAAATATAAACAATGCTAACACTTAGTTTGAATTTACCATGCCAGACCTAAATACCGACAGAAAAGATTTTGTGATCAGAGAACAAGCTACCTTATTGAAAAAACAAAGTTTACCTCTTCGAAATATGACCTACATCACAACCTTGCTCATGGATTCATGGGTATGGTCAGATTTGGCAGAAATTGGTGGGAAGTTGTGAAGTACTCCCTCCGTAAACAAATATAAGAGCGTTTAGATCACTATTTCAGTGGTCTAAACGCTCTTATATTTTTTATAGATGAAGTACGTCTGTAAATCCTCCCATATTCAAAAAAGTTTTAATATAACAAATGAAATTCCCTTTGAATATAGTCACATAAAACACCACATGTTCTGTGGCACTGGACAATGACTTGTCAAGCTGGTATCACAAAGCCAAATAAACCCACATGTTCGACAAGCATTTGTCACACTGGCTTTGCAAGCCATGGAACACTGATAAAAACCGCCACCTCAAGTGCGGCCACACATCTTGTTCATGTGCATGCAACCGACCATGCATGGTATAATGACCAACTCATCCTCATCGCAAAGTTGGCATCCACACATCTTTTGTCGACTTGGCTGTAGGAAGGGCGGTATCAACGTTCAATGAAGCAAGGGGAGAGGGCGTAGTTGCGTGCGGGAACTAGATAGAAGGATATAACAGCCAAGGGCGATGGGGCTGGCGGGAGGGTGGGCCCTCATGGCTAGACCGAGGAGTGTGGCAGATCAAGGGCCACTGCACGAAAACGGAACGTGATATTGATTGCTTCTCGGTTGAAAACCATATTGCGGCGCCAACTACAAACTGATGCATGCACGAACCAACTACGGAGAGGGGATGCCCGTTCGTATGATCTAGGAGCGGTTTTCCTATACGACTGCCATTTAGAAAAAAGGCATCAATCAAACCGGCGCCTTTATTGCACGGGGCGGGCTCACGATTTTTTGTAAAAAGCATGTGTGCCTGGTATCTTAGGGTTTACATAGAGGAACTAGGATGAGGTGTGAAATCATGAATAAACCGCCACCACCGATTTCCTATATACTCCCTCCGTCCCTGAACATAAGTCTTTCTAGAGATTCTGATAATCCATATCGTACGGAGCAAAACGAATGAATCTTCACTCCAAACCACGTCTATATACATCTGTATGTATCCCATATTAAACTTGTAGTATTTAGGAATGAGTAGTAAATACCATGGTCCACAGCACAAGCCAGAGCTGTACTGTGCCATGTGTCCCATGCCTGAATCTTCTCGTGGGGTTGACTGAAGTTTCTGAAGCCGGTGGGGCCAGAAGACGCGGCAGGCCCACAGTTTCAACGCTACAAAACCACGCGGGTCACGGGAATATTTTCTTTCTTTCCTCACCGAGGAAGGAGAACCAGAAAAATAAAATAATATTGGTACTAGCTCCAACTCGTAACGCCAGTCCTTTCCCCCTTGCGGCGACCGCCGGAGAGGAGAGGAGAGGGGATGGACGCGGCGGCGCCGTCGCGGCGCGCGGGGCCGAGGCGGGACAGGCCCCTCATCCCCCCCAACTACGTCAGCCTCCGGGACCTCCAGGGGCTCCGCCTCAAGGAGAAGGCCGAGCGGCGGCGGCGCCAGGAGGCGGAGGAGGCCGCCGCCAGGAGGGAGGCCGAGGAGGAGGAGCAGGAGCGGCGGCTGCGGAAGGAGGCGGAGGCGGAGGCCTCCGCGAGGAGGGCCAAGGAGGAGGAGGAGGAGCGGCGGCGTCAGGGGGAGGAGGAGGCCGCCGCGGCGAGGAGGGTTAGGGATGCGGCGGCGGCGGCACCTAGGGTGGAGATGAAGGGCTCCTCCTCGTCGCGCGCCCCCTTCAGGTATAATGAGAGGCCCCGCGTGGTGGTCGTGGCGCATCGCCCGCCGCCGCCGCCACGCGGGGAGGGTTCGGCCGTGAATGGTGGCGGCGCCGGCGGCAGGAAGGGGCCGGGCGGCGACGCGGCCGATGGAACCCTAGGCGGCGGAGGTGGAGGCAAGGCGCGGGATGAGGGGATGGGGAAGGCCTCCGTGGGATTGGTTGCCGGTCCAGGCGACCCAGCCGAGCCAGCTACCGGCGGCAAGCTGGAGGAGAAGGGTAATGGGGAGGCCTCTGGATGTCAGGGCACGGCATTGGGGACGAGTGGCTTGCCAGGCGAGCTGGCCGAGGCGGATACTGCATCATACCGAGGCACCGTCAGGCCCAGGTACAAGCACAAGGGGAAGAAAGGTTTCGATGGCCGGAGCACAGAAACAGCCATGACCGGCTCATTGGTTGAAGCGGTAACGGCATCACCACCGCGAGTCGTCGATCTGGATAACAAGGGGAAGGCTGGATCGAGTAATCAGAGCACTGGGAAAGCTTCGGCAAGCTCACAGGGCGAGGCAGCTGATGATTCACCACTGCAGGGAGTCAAGTCGGTTAACAAGTGGAAGAAGAAGAATAAACCCTCAGGAGGAAGGCAGGCAGGCGCAGCACCTGGCGGCGATTGGCCGAACGGGAGGAGGGACCAGCCACGGCCGGGCAGCCGCGGCCGGAGGAACGGCGATGGTCAAGGAACCATCTGGGAAGTAAAATCCGATGGCCTTGGGGGAAAGCAGCCGGAGGTGGAGGGGAAGGCCCACTCGCATCCGCCCACTGAGAGCAGCAGCAACAGAAGGAGGGGCAGTGGTCAAGGAATGATCAGGAAAGCAGAATTTGAGGACTTTGGGGAGAAGGAGCCGCTGGTTGAGATGAGGGCGCAGCCGCATACAGCTGCTGACAGCAGTAGCTATCCAACAAGTAGCCGTGATCAAGGAATGAACAGGAAGGCCAAATCCGAGGACTTTGGGGAGAAGCAGGTGGTGGCCGAGATTAGAGCGCAGCCGCATCCGGCTGCTGATAGCAGTATCAATCGAAGGAGCAGCAGTGGTCAAGAGATGAACCAGGAGGCAGATTCCAATGGCTTAGAGAAGCAGCCAGTTGTGGAGATGAGAGCCGTGGCCCAGCAGAAGCCATGTGATGCGAGGATCTTCCATGGGCGGCGGCGCCCTGGTGATCACAGCCGAGCGAATGGAGCCGCAAGGCAGCAGGGCTGCATCTGGGTGCCCAAGGCTGCTGCTGTCCCAGTCCGCACCGAAGTCGGAAACATTCCGTAGACAGGAAGTATATATAGTAATATGTGGTAACATGCGCCAGTGGTAGATTTCCAACAAGTGAAGGTGCTAAATCCTATCTATAAGTAGAATATAGGTGTTTGAGATTGCCAAATTGGTTTGCCGGGCTTTATTATCACCAGATTGGTTTTCGGGTAATAAACATTGTAATCCCTGTAGATTCCTGCTGTAATTAAATCGTTGTAATTTTTTGGTGGGAATTTGCCAAGATCCTTGCTTTCCAAACAGATTGCATTAACAAAAAAGTGTGGCATTGCAGGTGAGGATGGTTAATTAGAATTGACTTGTATCTGCAATAAATTGACTGGTCATTGTGAAAATTTACCGACTGATGCACAATTCAACTGTGAAAGAACGAAGCCTGTTTCCTCAATTCAATTCCTCATGTTACTGAGTGAATGGCGCCGCAAGGCAGCACTGCGGCGTCTGGGTGCCCACTGCTGTCCCAGTCCGCACCGAAGTCGGAAACATTCCGTAGACAGGAAGTATATATAGTAGTAATATGTGGTAACATGTGCCAGTGGTAGATTTTCAAGTAATGAAGGTGCTAGCTCTTATTTATATAGATATGAAGTGCATAGGTGTCCATGTAGGGTTTGTTGGCTTTGAGATTGTCAAATTGGTTTGCTGGACTTAGCTATTGCCAGATTGGTTTTAGAGTAGTACTGTAATCTATGTAGATTCCTGCTGCAATTAAATCATTATCATTTTTTTGTGAAACTGGCACAAGATTCTTGGGTTCCAAACAGATCGCATAAACAAAAAGGCATGGAATTGCAGGTGAGGATGGTGAACTAGAATTAACTGATTTACTGACTGATGCATGTTTCCTCAATTCAATTCCTCATGAAACATATACATTCTGCTGTTTCTGGTTTACTAACTGATGCCTGTTTCCTCAATCCAATTCCTCATGGAAGGTATACATCTGCTGTTGCCCGTCAGCAATAAAATCAAACTACAAGGTGTTTGTGTTCTGCTATTTCAAATCAGAGACAAGACAAAAGCAAAAGGGTTAAACTGGTGTAGAAGCATTGCTAGCTCCCCTTGGTTGATATGACAGTATCCTCATCCGAATATCACAGTGAGTATGCTACATTTCTCATCCAAAATGTTTTGCATGCTAGAATCAAAACATCACATATTGCTGCATATACTGATGATCCCCTGAATCACCGTCTAAATTCTACCTCCCACCGCTTCATCCTCGCATCGTCACCTCTCCTAGAGCGAGGGGAAGTACCTGCTCATACCATATGGTAGAGCGTAGAACTCCTCGCTTCTGCCATCATGCCTGTAGGACTTGAATTTCTCCAACCACAGCCAGCCCCTGTCCCTCCTCACATGGGGTTCCCAGTAGAGGTGCGTGCAATCGAGAAGGTAGGCAAGTATGGCAGCAACAGTCGCGGGCGAGGAGAATATCACGTTGACAATGACATTGAACTGAAATTTCAATGGACAAGATAAGGTTTAGGTCATGATCAGTGTGAAAGTTATATTTATAATAACTAGGTTGTGTCACCCTGTAGTTGAGTCTACATACCGCCAGTGAACGTGTGTGAGCTGGTCCAAAGCCGTAGAATGTCTCAAACTCCCGGAAGTACTGTGGTATGGATAGCCCCAGGAACAAGGAGATGCCGAGTATAAACTTGCTTCTTCGGGTGTTAAGGTTGCAGTATTGAAGGAAGCAGAGGCCTGCAGCAGCTGTTTCAGGCAGAAAACAAGATCAATGGAATAAAAATGTTATGAACATTCAAGGATTTGATTCCATAAAACTCTGGTGGATTGGTATGTAATGCTCACCTGAATAAGCAAAGAGAACACAGTAAAGTGCAGAGAAAATCGGCAATGGAATAGATGCAAGAATTGCTCCAAATTTTCCTGTTGATTGTTAAGCCATGTCAGCCAAATGAAGTCGCTGACTATAAATGGTGATCACTGATCACTGATAGTGCTGAAAGATCCAGAGAATAGGAGCAGTACCAAACAGCGAGAAGAAGATCATGAACAAAGCGGAAATCTTGATGACTCGTCTGCTTCCAACTCGCGTCAAGGCCAGTAGACCGCAGTTCTCACTACACGATCAAACAAGGAAAATCAGTTAGATACTTCAATTTAGGTGATTTATGAGCAGTGGTTCTCAGCAGACTGAAGGTACTGGGGTAGATGTAGAGCTCATTACACTGAAGCTGCTGTGCCTGTCAACGTGCCGCACATCCCATCTAGTATGATAGATATACCCTGATAGTTTTGGAAGTTGTTTAGCAATGAGCAAAATATTCATGAGAAGATTCAGACATTTAATTTTGTATTTTTCAAGTACCTGCCAGCCAATTCCACGAGCGAAAACAGAAGGCGGGACGAATGTCGCGCCTGCGTATCTTGACACTGCAATTAGGGTGCCGGTAGACTGAAAGTAAAACTGTTCATCAGACTAAACCCAAGAAATTCCTTGTACCTAATGGTACTCTGTTTTGCAGAATTGCGGCGATCTGATACAGTTCCAATTTCACTGAAGTGCAGAACTGAAGATGTGTACATACCTCAATAAGGGACGCGAAGGAAGCGGCCATCATGGCGAAGCAGTCCTGCGCGCAGAAGATGGGGTATCCCCACTGGAACGGGTAAGGGAACCTGACCCTGCTCATGGCAGAAACAACAGGATGCGCATGTCAGTGAGCCACTCCAAGGAGCATGAAGACTAGGCAGTAAGGGTTCAGAGTCAGAGGCCATACCAGGGCGCGGCGTGGATGAGGCCGGAGCGGTCGGTGCGGCAGCTGAACTGCGCCACGGGGTTCCTCTCGTCGTAGGCGCCGGCCGCCGTCAGTATCTCGGCGAAGATCCACACGATGATCACCGTCACCAGCACCGCGCACCGGCCGAACACGAAGCTCCCTTTGGCAAAGTAATGGGACGCGTACTGTAAGGGCAAAAGAAGAGACAGGAGGTCAGGAAATGAATTCCCAGTTACAAATCTAGTCTAGAGAAAAACAGACCAATTCCTCCTGATACCTCTGAGAATATTAGGAGCAGAACGAGCGTCGGGAGACCGATCTCGATGCATTTGGCGACCTGCAGGTGTGTTGACAGAATTCAGAGACTGAATCAAGAGAGGAACAATCAAAACAAAAGCAGCAGCCACTGGCAACAATCATGGCATCAAGAGCTGGTGTCTTACCCCTGGGAAGGCGAAGTAGAAGAGCCCGAGCGCGGAGAGCGTGACGAAGGGGACAGCGGCGAGGGGGCTCAGGAACCTGGCATGAGAAGCTCAAGCAGCGTCAGTGCAACAAGTAACAGAAAGAAGGTATTGTCAGGGACCGGAAGACGGTGGCGTGAGGCAGCGAGCGAGGAACCGTCGGACGACCTTATGAAGACCCTCCATATGCCGAAGAAGCCGATGACGGCCTGGAAGACGCCGGCGATGATGAGCACGCCCTGGAGCGACCGCATGGTGTACACGAACCTCTGAAAGAGAACAGCATCGGTCGATGAGTCAGTCAGTCGTGCAGCCACCAACCGCTGCAGCGCAGGACCAGGACAGGACAGGGCGGGACAGAGCAGCAGGGAGAAGCGCAGAAACGCGGGCCGGACCTCGAAAGGGGCGCCGATGAAGAGGATGTATCTTGGGCTGATGATGATGGCCACGGCGGCGTAGATGTAGGTGAAGGAGCCGCCCATGACGGCGGGGAGCCGCGTGCCGAAGTGCACCTGCAGGAGCGTGTTGATCCCGGCGAGGAAGAGGATGGTCTGGATCACGATCGCCTTCTCCTCCTGCAATGCGCACGACGATGGTCACGACGAGGAGGAGCGCGCGCACAGGTAAGGAAGGGAAGGGAAGGGAAGGAAGATGAGGCTCACATGGCCGCCGCCCATGATGGGGACGAGGATGGTGGCGATGATGACGGTGGTGCCGAGCATGACCAGGTAGTGCTGGAACGCGACGACCACCGTGGTGACTGCATGCGGCAAAGGAGGAGAAGCAGAGACGTCAGTCAGAGCTCGGAAGGAACCACTGGTGAACCGGCCTAGCTACCAGCCTGGCTGCGGATGAGTGAGTGGCGAGGGCACGCACTCCATGGCGGCGGGCTGGTGATGCAGTAGTCGAGCTCGGCGAACTGCTCTCTGCAGGGGTGCGGCACCAGGTCCTCGGCCTTGACGGGCGACATGGCCGGCCGGCGAGGAGGGGGAGGCGAAGGGGGCGGGGCGGGCCGGGGTCAGTTTGCAGTGCAGTGAAGCGGCTGATGATGGTGGAAGAAACGCATGCTCGCCTCCATTTATGTAGCCGGTGTTCTCTCCCGCTTCCTCGTGCGTGCGTGCGTGCGTGCGTTTCGTCACGTCTCTGTCGGTGGATGAGCCGCCTATTCTCTTCTCTCAGTGTCAAAATAAAAGTCTTACATTTTGAGACGGACGGAGGGAGTAGTTATCAAGTATTACCACTTTACCAGTTACTTTTAAACTTTGGAATTGTACAAATCGCAGTAACTTTGGAATTGTAGTACGTTCGCTCTAAGAGGCTCTAGCCAGACGCCCTGCGCCCTCTTCCTCACGCACCGCTAGAGGCCTGCCATGCTGTATGATAAAGAGCTATAAATTGCCATGTTGCACAATGTTGTGAAGAGAGAATTTGCCATGCGTTCAGTAATTGCCATACTGGTAGAAAAAAAATTGCCATGTTATAACCGAATGATTCGCCATGATGCAACTGAGTAAGTAGACACGCATGTTCAGGTGTTGCCATGCTAGAGCAGAAAAAAACGTCATGGTACGCGAAGAAGTTGCCACATTTTTTTTCCTTTCTGTAATTGCCATGCAATGCATAGAAGTTGTCGCGCTCTGGACGTTTGTTGGCTCCGTTTGGACCGTTCGCTCTAGGATAGGAGGCCTAGAGCCCTAGATCATCCGGCCGGACGGTCCCTCCGAGAGCATGTTCGCTATATAACATTTTGAGAAAGGATGTGCCTGCATCAAGAGAGTTTTATTTATCAGTCGTTGACCCTCGCTCGATCGAAGCCGTTAACCAGATGGGGCCAGGCGCAGTTTGGAGAGACGAGGGCAAGACTGGGTGGCTTTTAGGTAGGAATATATCCAGGTTCAGCCATGCATCATCGTCCCCTAGCTACCCCGTTACGTACCCTCCCCGCTTTGCTTTGCTTTGCTTTGCTTTCCCACGTTGTTAGCTGGGGTTGGCGAACTAGCTTGGGTCTGGTGTGCAGTGCAGTCCCAACATGCACACCTCGGATCGGAACTGCGTATTTTATGTGGCGTAGTTGGAGTTGGAATGGTGGTTCTGGGGTTGCAGCGACCGGCCGGAGCAAGGAAGGATGCGTTATGTGGAAGCTAGCTAGCTACGAGTGGGTGGTGGGACAACGAGACAGTACGTAGGAGCATGACACAAACTGTGATCGATCGAGACGGCATGGGATTAGTTGGGTAGATGCTGGCTGGCTGCAGCGCCCATGGATGCCGTCGTCGCTATCCGTTTGTCTCTGAAAACGGCAAAATCCAGGCTCTAGCTAGTACTCCCTCCGTCCTGAAATACTTGTCAAAGAAATCCATAAAAATGGATGTGCATATAACTAAAATACGTCTAGATACATCAATTCATCCGACAAATATTTCCGGATGGAGGGAGTACTTGTAAACTAATATAAGATCTTTTAGACCAGTAGAGCAGTGATCTAAAAGATCTTATATACACAGGGAGTACCTTTTTCTTTTGCGGCAATTAGGCTTGGGCTAATAGCTTGTATCTACAGTACTAGAAGGTGGAGGGGCGTCCAAACTCCAAATGGGATTTTCAATCTTTGTGGCTAGAGTGCATCCAGCTAGTCAAATCTCGGAAAAG